TGGAGGGGTCTCCATACCTTTGGGTTTCCCTGCGACTGCCTTATGAAGTCGTAGAGCAACTGCAGGGATCGGGGTCGCCTCATATCTGAACTCGAGATTTCGTGGTCCGTGACCATTTGGAAATGTGATAATTGCAGGCAGTCCAGGCTGCACAGCAAGCTGTCAGGCTTTCGAGTTGCACTTGGAGAAAAGTTTCTGTACTTACCCTTTACATTAAAAATATATTTTATTAATGAGGAATAGTATACTTATTTTTCAGACAAATTCAAATATAACCTATACTTTCCGTTATTAACTAAAGTTGAATAAAGTTAAAGGTAAAAAAAAACCTTTATCATGATTAATAAAGCTAGCAATTAAGGTAACTTTTGTACCTGCGCATGTGGATATTTCTCTAAGAAATTTGTGGGATTTCTTTATTTTTTTGAGTGCAGAAAAAAGGAGCTGTAATGAGGCTTGAGGTGGGCTGGGGACCATTGGGTTCTCTATATGTACTTCGCTGCTTGCAGCTTGCAGCTTTCTGACACAAAAGTGCAGCTGGGCTTGGCTCCTGCGAGTTCTCTTTTTGTTTTTTTTTTGTTTTTTTGGCAGGGGGTTCCACCTCCAACGGCTTCTTTCGCCCCTTATCTCCAGTAGCTACTGTTGCACATTTCGCATTTAATGTGACAATGTCACTTTGTTTGTGCCCCGGCTATCTGACTGTTAATTTCCAAGACTACGGCAAGTTCACACTCTTAATTGGATTTGAAAGTGCAGCAGGCGCAGTTGACACCTTCTTTCTCTCGGCAGCTTCCTCTTCGCCGCCTCCTAAGTAAACCGCACCTCACCTGACAACTGATTAGGCTCCTGCGAATGGGGTTAACCCCATAAGGCGGCCAAAAGTCGTACTCTTTTCGGTGGATCCGTTAATGAGCTTAGCCGTGCTAAAAGATAATGCTTGGGAACGGAGATCGGGAGATTTGGGGGATTACTAACGGTGTGGAAACGTTAACTGAATGAATCTTAGCTGCACTATCACAACAGAACAACAATTAAGCCTTTAAAATTGCTTCTTACAAATCAAGAGTTTACTTACATTTATATTAAAAAAATCTTCAATGCGCTATATTGACTTTCAACTCATCATTGTAAATTTTGAATGGTCCTTAATCAACGAAAGTTAAAAAGTCTGACACAATTGCCATTTGAAAAAGGTTTGACAAAACCGCATTGCTAAAAGCAGCCACAAAATAACGCTAAATATCAAATGGATTCGATGTGATTGCTGTTAAATAGCGTTTAATTTGACAGTTGATGGACATTCCAAAGGGGATAAGAGGTGCTGCTCTAAAAACTGCGAAAATAATGATGAGCAGCTGGAAAACCAGAGGATGAGTGACCAAATGAATGATATGGTTGAATGGGCTCCGAACTGAATTTCCTTTTACATTGAAAATGTGAACTCCATTTACCAGCATTGACTTTATTCTTTGCTACCATTTATATAATCATATGGGAGTGGAGAAAGAAATCGAATTGAGTTGCATTTTTGAGGAAACCCAACTGAAAAATCGAGGAAAATACAGCAGAAGAGTGAGATAATAAATCCTCAGCAGGCGGGAAAAACAAATCGAATGAATAAACAAAACACAGCAGTCTAAACAGGAGGTTTCATTTAATGCTATTTCGATTTGGATTTGGATTTCCCTTTACTGGCAGCAAAACAATTGACTAAGCCGCAAAACCGCACCACAATAAAATTAGCTACAAAATCTAATCAAAGGACCCCGAGGCGCCAATGACAACAACAGCAACAAATGGGACAACGTGTAATTACATTGGGAAAACTGCACAGAGCCAACAAAAGAAACAACCAATTGAAAGCAAGCTGCAGCGAAAATCGAAATTGAAAATTAATTTCAAATTAATTTCAAATTCACAAAAGCGATAAATTTGCTAAACATTCGTGACACACACAAATACGAGAATTGGTGGGGTCAAAATTGGTTGGTGGTTCACAGGGGGGAAAGGTGGGGACTTCCTGGGTGTTCGACCTGAAATGTCGAATGTACTTGTAGCCAAATAAACAGACAAGACAGCCGAAAACAGCTGGAAAACTGTTGTGCAAGCTTAGATTTTCAACAGCTGTGTACACGAATTCGATAAATTTTATCACTAAAGGAACCAAACTTCAAAATCACATTAAACTAAATTATAATCAAGATACCAAGTTTAAGAGATACACTTTACAAATCGTAAATTAAATAAGGGTTAAAAATGTGTAATGACTTAAAATAATAGAGAAATTATTCACACATATATTTAGCATGTTCAAAATTTTTTAAAATAATAATAGTTGAAAATCTAAACACACTTTCATGCTGAAACTCCAACGCCTCGTTACAAAACTTCCAGAACTATTCAATATGGAACGCACATGGACAGAAAGTGTCACCACAACAGCTGCCTTTAGCCATTTTCATGAACGCTCTTAGGCCAAAAACAGGCAATTGGCCAAATGGATGGAGCCGAAGGGGTTGATAGCCCAAAAGCAATTATGTCGGAAATATGCTGCTGAGGTGTACGTCAGTCAGTCAGCAAATTCAAATTCGAACACAGACTCTGACTCAGAACTCAATTCAATTCCCAATGGCCGAGTTCATTGAAAACTATGTGTGAACTAAAGGGAGAAAATATATTAGGGAAACCGTCTTTTTCCGCACGAAGGAATTATTTATTTCAGAAAATCTATTATCTACACCCTCGATAAATGCTTGACCATATGGTCGTCATAAAAGCGAGCAAAGCGCTAATAGATAAGAATCACGTTTCATCGAACATTCGAGCCTTGTTATCAATGCAATTGTCCGGGAATTACCGATTCACGGACAGAACAAACCTTCCACACATTCACAATTATTAAAGAATTCAAAGCGGTGTTAAAATACACCAATATCTTTTTATTACAGCCAACGAAATTCCAGGAAAATCATGCGAGGCACAAATAACACAACACAATGGCGCAAATATATACAAAAAAAATTGCATATTTCTGTGCAAAATTTAATTGAAAATTTTCGCGGCCACATAAAATAATGACAGAGGCCAGGGACGAAAAAGTATTAATATTTGTATATGTGCAAAGAGAAATCTGAACTGCAGAAAATAGCCAAGCAAAAAATGGCTTATTTGTTAAGTTTTATCAGGCGGAAAATAAAACTAACACTAAAAGAAATGATGTTGTGCTTTAATTAATAATTACCGGATTGATTTACGATGAGGTATAAAAACATTTACTTATATTTCATGTTTACTTTCAGAAAAGATTTTTTAAATATTATAAATATTATAAATACAGCAACCTTTTTTTTTGCTTCCCTAATAAGTGAAAACTATTATTGAAGTTTGAAGATATTAAATGCTGGTTTCTTAGATACCACAATCCCTTAAATGCTGGTAAGTTGAACAAAAAATACTTTAACATTTCCACTGTTGCCTGGCATATGCAAATGTGATGCGGCTTGTCCAGGCAAATTTCATTATTATTTCACACTCCGAACAGAGAGATCTGAGCCCACAATCCCCAATTCGGGGATCCAATTGCCACCCAGCAAACGCATTTTGGTATGTAAATATTTTGGCGCGTGCTCGGAACTCAGGGAAACTCTGCATAAAAAGGGGATTGGAGGATGACAGGAACTGGTGCCAATATTTGCCTGTTTTTTGTTTAATTAAAACATTTTCCCCAATATTTTATACAGGCTTCATTCTGGTCGACCAATCTTTTCCTGCCTTTCTACGCTTGCAATTTTTAAATGAAATGAAATGCAAATTTTCTTTGTACACCAAGTGGCCCAAATCCAATCCATATGAAATATTTAAGCCGAACAATTATGTCAGGGTAAAATGGCCATGGGTGTTATAAAAAATGCGTTTATTAACATTCAGGGATTCATTTCGGTTTTGTGGATTTGCCGATTTTTTTGCTTAAAAACAAACATAGCTTACTTGCCTTTTTGACAATTTAATGTTTATTGAACTCATGTTCAACAAAACATTGCAGGAAATTAAATTTAACAATATGTTTAGCTTTCAAGAGGAGAGTTTCCACAATGCCCATGATAGCAAACTAATTAGAAAGGTTGATAGGCTTCTTCACATCCTACGTTCTCCAGCGCTGTTAACTTTAATCTAATTAAACGCCATCAAGTAACAAATTGAAAGATAAACTCAATTTACATCGCATAATCTCCTCGATAAAAACAACGTCCAAAACCAACAATGTTCCCACATATGGAAGGCTGCCATTAAAAACCCCCGCACCGAAAATAAAAACCGAAACCGACCAAACAAAACTCGGCCATAAAGTCCATTAGTGGCCGTTTTGCATACGCAATGTCCCCAAAGGGGGCGGGTGGCGTTGGGGGCGTGGCCGTTGGCTAGGGGCTAGTGGAAGCTAAAATTGCGGTCAATGTGACAAGTTAGCAGTGGGCTCAAAGTTTCCAGGCTGACCACCAAAGCGATGGATGTAAAACTCATTTGGTGGCTGATAATTGCGTGCGTCGCCCGTTTTTGGGGCAGCTCAGCTGGGAGATACTGTCAAAAAATCAACTCAGTAAACAGCGAGGAAATGAAAAGGGCAAGGGCAGAAAGCCGTAAATCCCTCAAAATGCAACTTTGGGGCTTGACCACTGCAGCTGGCGAAATGGCAAGCCATAAACTGTTTGTTGAAACTTTGGGGAAAGCAATTCCTTATGAAGTTTTTTGGGTTATTAAAAGGTTTAAAACTTTAGGAATTACCAAATATTTTTTTAAAAAGCAAATTAGCTTGGATCATTATTTTACCTGTCTCAAATGTAAGAAAAAATATTATATCTGGCATATAAAAAAAAAAAATGATGAGATCTACTTGTTATATACTAAGTTCGAAGCGCCAAAAATTGTAGTTTAATTTTTGTTTAGCAAAAAAATTCTGAATTAAACTAAATAAAATTTCAAAAAAGCTGACGGCTTTAACTCACCTGATTCGTTTTCTCTGCCGAGCGTTGTCACCTCCTCGACGGGAGTTACTTCCTTTAGTCCTTCCGCCTGCAAAGGCACCCCATCGTCCTGCGGTCCATCTTCACCATTGTCGTCATCGTTGGTCTGCTGATTACCGATGATGGACGACGAGCCGTTCACGACCTCGATGACACTTTGCACCGAGTCCATCGACGAGGTGGCAGAGACCAAAATTGGCGTTGTTATGGGCGTGGTCACCGAGGAGGACGAGGACCCGCTGAGCAGGTCATTTGGCTCCTCGCGTGAGTCCGGCAGCTGGTGGCTCTCGAATTGGAGCTCATCCGGTGGCATCTCGACCACGGGACTCGACGCTTCCGCGGCCGATTGTTTGGCATTGGGCGCCACATTTGGCAGGTCCACGCTGGCCAGGTTGATAATGGGCTGCGGTTTTTCCGATGCCTCCTCCCGCTGCTCCACGCCCACGATAATGCGTTCCAGGGGCTTGGGCGGCTGGGCGGTCTCCAAACTGCTGCGTCTTTGGCTGGGCGTCGGCTTGCCACCGGATCCTGCCACCTCGCTCCGTTTGCTGGGCACCGGTGGAGGCGCCACCCTCGGCTTGGTCAGATTAGCTGGCATTTTGGGTTTGTTTGTGGGCACTGGCGGTTTGGGTTTCGGCTTGGGAAGCGGCGTTGGTGCCTTCTTGACCTTCTCCTGGGGAAGGATTATGTGCTTGTGGAGGACGTAGCCCAAGTCGTCTTCCAGTTGAGGGGAAATCACCTCTACTGTTGTGTTGGACTTGACGGGTAGTTCGATTTTCTGCTTGGAAACAGTGACTTCTTCTTTTTGGGAGACCGTGACTTTCTTAGTCGACTCCTTGTGACTGGTTGTGTCTGTGATCTTATCGTTTTCTTGAATCACCTTCACTTCTTTGTGCACCACTTTGACAGCCTCTTTAATATTGGTTTGTTCTTTGATTTCCTCCTTGACTTCGTTTACCTCCTTATTCACTTCACTCTTAATGACTTCTTCTTTAAGTTCCTGATGTGACACCTTCACCTCTTCCTTGACTTCCGGTTGGGTTACTTGGGTCACCTCCTTTACAACTTTGACTTCCTCTTTGACTTCCTTAACCTCCTCTTTGACCTGCTGATCAAAGACTTTAACATCCACAGGGGTTTGGACAACCTCCTGGATTGGGTTGGAGTCCTTCACCTCCTTTTGGATTTCCTCAACCACTACGGGCTTATCCTCCTTCTCCACCTCCTCAAAAGCACTTAGGTCAAAGCCTTGGTTATCATCATCATCCAGTTTGTAAAGCTTCTCCGCCTCCTTCTTCACCTTCTGATAACTTTCGATCAGTTTTTGAGCCTCCTGTTCCAGACGTCGTTCCTCGTCGGTTTTCTTGAGCAACTTAGCCCCCTTCTTCCCGGCAACCTCCTTGCTCTGCTCCAGTTTTTTGGTTACCTGCTTTTCGCCATCGTTGGTGACCGTCAACGTTTCGCAGAGCTCTCGTTCGAAGGTAGGTAGGTCACCGTTCTCTTCCTGGTTTGAAGAGCCTCCAGCTCCATTGAGAACCTGCTGGGCCTCCAAATAGGACTCCTTCTCGCTGGTTTCGCACTCCGTGTAGGTGGTGAGTCCCTGGCTCTCGCTCAGCTGCTTTCCCCGCTCGGATAGGGTCAGAGTACCCCGTTCGATACTCTGGTTATCCTGAGGACAGTCCAGCCGCTCCCTCAGACTCGATTCCTGGGCGATCGTGGCGGTCAACGGCTGCTCGTGCATCTCCTGCTCGTCACCGATGTCGAGTAGGTTGTCGTTGCTGCTGATCTTCTTGAAGCGGGCGCTGCTCGATTTCGAATTGGCACTCGTCACCAGCTGTTCTTCCCCAGTCAGAGCATCCAGGGTTCTCATCTCGCTGAGGGTCTTCTGCTCACTCTGCACTCGTCGTTCCTCGTGGATGGTGGTTATGGGTTCCCCGATGATCTCCTCCCTTTCCTCATAGGGTTGCAGCTTAAAGGCAATGTCCGGGGAGAGGATGGTGGAGGAGCTGCTCGAGGAACTGGAGGTCTTGGTGGTGGTCACTCGAGTGGTGGTGGTGGTCCTCTGACTCCTCACCGAATTGGAACTACTCGAAGTGATTTCCTGTGTCTGGTTCGTTGTGCTTTCTTTGCGACTTTCCACTGCCGTTTCACTTGCGTCATGGTCAGCAATCTTATCGTGAGTCAGCTGCGCCAGTCCACCGGCATTCGCTTCCATTTTGGGCAACTTCTTCGACTCCTCTGATTTGACAAGGTTTCTGGATAAAAAAAAAAGAACGACATGAAAAAAAGAAACCTTAGTAATTATAATTACGCTTCTTATCAGTTGGTGATATGTTAATTGACTTGTTGCCATCGCACCTGCTATGCAAAACGTCAATCGAATCGAGACAGGTTCGATCAGTCCCGAACCTTCGCCCAACGTTACCAAAATCACACTGATTCCGATTTCTCTACTGCCATTGCACCTTATCAGGTGAGTGGGGTACCTTTATCGGTGTGTTAGTAAACACGCCGGCATTCGCTCTTATCAGCCTTTGTTTTTTATTTGCTTCGTTTTCTTTATTATTTTTATGGGGGGATACCACCGTACCTTTTTGCAATTGCCGAGTGGCTTAGCTAACCGCTTCGTGTTTGCAAAAAAATGAATTGGCAACAATTTAGTTTTGTAAAAGTCTAATAACCCTGAACATGATTTGCAGTTAGCGATAGAATCTGTCAAAAAATAGGGTTTACATATCATCTACACTTTAATCTATTTTTCGCTAATCTATTTTGCAAATGCATAATTGGTAAACTACACCCACTAAAACGCGTAATCATTATTTTTGGGTTCATTATTATGGCATTTGGAATTTGGCAAATATCTAAGCTATGCCATAAAACTGACTGATTAGAACAACTAGACTGCATAACTTTGATATTACTTTTTTTCGATAGTTAGGTACGTACTCAATGATATATTTTTTATAAAAATATAACAAGAAATCTGCTTTGTTATTATCTTTATTACAATCCAATAGCTTGGAAAAATGGCGAATAGGCACCTATCAACCTAATCTTAATCCTTCTCCTAATCAAACTAATCCCTTCCAGTTACTCACCCGTTGGTCAGGGACTGTGGTTCCAGGGAGGAGAACTCCTCCTCCACCTCGCCGATGGTGGGCAGCATGTTGGAGTGCCAGAACATGTTGAAGTAGGCCTCCGAGGGACCGGGTCCGTTGATCAGCTCCGGAGGACCCAACTTCTCGCCGTCCTCGCAGACGTACTCCCTGTTGGCGGCGTCCATTTCGTCCTCATCCTCCTCTCCGCTGCTGGAACTCGAGTAGCAGGTGGTGTTGTTATCGTCGGCGACCTTCATGCACTTTCCAATGACCATCGGTGGAGGGGATTCCCGGGAGAGATCGGCGGCCTCAGCAGCGGCGGCAGCCAAAAGGGCGGTGATACTATTGTGGGTCTGGAGGGAATCACTATCCTTATCCTTAGAGGTATCCTTCTCCTTATCCTGACTGTGAACCAGGTCAAATAAACTAGGTAGCTTGTCCTCATCCTGGGCCTTGCTCTCGTACGTTTGAATCTTAAAGCGAATCTCCCGATTGCTGGTTGGCGATGGAGTTCCCACTGGAGTGGATCGTGGAGTGGGAGGACTCTGCTTGAAGGTCTGCATACTCAACTTGGGGCTTTGCTGGGGTGGCGTAGTTGGAAGAGCCTGCAGTTTGGGTATCTGCGTTTTCTGCAGCGATTGAACTCGCTCTGGTGGTTTGGGCTTCGGTCCTTTGGGGGATCTGCCACTATTTCCACTGCTGTTGCTGCCAATTGAACTGATGCTTTCCAGGGAATTTGAGCTCTTCGAGTTGCCGTTCAGAAGCACAGGGATGAAGGTCCTTTCGGGAGCCTCAGCTGAGTTTGCTCTCTGCAAAGGAGGCCTGGGACTCGACTCCTTTGATTTACTTCGGTATAGATTGAGCTTCAAATCCGTTTCGGATTTCTGCTTCTGCAGCAGTCGAGGGATATTCGAAGTGGGTGGTGTGCCGTTCAATGTGGGTGAAACTGGTTTGGGCACCGCTTTTTGAGTGGGGGTGCTGACTATGGGAATTCGAGACTTGCCTTGCGGAGATTCCTTTTTTGAGGAGGGCTGCAGATGCAGTTTGATCTCCCCTTCTGTTTTGGCCCTCGAGAACTTGGCCTTGGGTATTTTGGTAGTACTGATGGGTGAGTCCTTTGTTACCTCATTTGTGGGTGTCTTGGGGGAATCCAGCTGCTCATTAGTCGGAGTTTTGGGTTCCTCCATCGAGGGAACTCGTGGTGGTGTCACCTCGATGGGCAGTTTACTCGGTGTGGGAATTTTTCGTGGCATGGGGATGATGGATCGCTTCTTCGGCTCCACGGTGGCCAATCCCTGTATCCTGGGCTTCGGCGTGGGCGTCGTCTCCGGACTCCTGAGCACCACATTCTCGTACACATTCACCTTTTCGGTCTTGAACTCCACATTCTCGTAGTTATTCCCAGGGATGAGCAACTTGGGATGACCCACAGTTTGCTCCAGAGGAAGAAACTCCTGTTCGAGGAGGGTGAAAGGCTGCAGGACCTTGGCCAGCTCGTGACCATTGAGACTGCTGTCCGAGGAGTAATTGGAACCCATGGAGAACTTATCGATGACGGTGGAAATTGTGCTGGCGGTATCGTCCGATTCGGAACCCGCCTTGATGGATTCGGTGAGTAGATTCAAGTAGTACTCCGCATCCGGCGGAGGAGTCAGTGGTTTTTCGATGACCATTTGAGCAGGGTTCTCCTTGGAGTTCTGTCGCCTCACCAATTTTCTGGGTGGAACTGGTGGCGGCGGAGGTGGCTGGGCATTCAGTGTGATCGAGAGCTGCTCCAACTGCTGCTGCGGATCCTCTTCGCTGGGAGGCTTCTGTCCGTGACCATTTCGCACCACCAGCTGAATGGCCACATTGTCCTTCAGTCCCCGAACGCAATCGATGCGAGTCATCTCCATGACATCCCTTCCATCAATGCTGACGATCTCGTCGCCCTCGCGGAGATTTCCCCAGCTGGTGGCCACTTTGGAGGCGGGACTGTCGGCGGCGCAGGATTGTATGTACAGCTTCTGGACGAGTTCTGTGCTCCGAGTTCCTCCCTGGAACTTTAATCCAAAGCCGAGGCGTTCGCCCGGCAATCGGAACACTGTGACATCCTCTACTTGCTCTTCGTTTATCGGAATTGAGGAAATTCCGCCTTCTTCCTCCTGTCGTCGCTGCTGCAGGAGCTCCATCTCGTTGATGGTCAACACTGTGATGAACGAGGAGTCCTCCGCCACGGAGCTCTGCCGCTTGACTAGCTTCTTGAGGCGATCCTTCGTGGACGACGTCGGATCGTCCACCTCCACTACCGTTATGTAGTCATCGTCCACGGTTGCTGTCTTCGCTGTCGTGCCATTCGCTTTCGCCTCAGAGGCCATTTTTGCAGTTGAGAGTTAGAGCCTTTGAATAAGTAAAAAAAAGAAAACAAAATGATTAGTTGAAGAAATATTCGCAATATCTACTTGTTAAGGTTGAAAAAGCTTAAAACTATTAAAGTGTAATTAAAATACAGAAAACCAAAAAGAGACGTCTCCCAATATAAAAAGTAAAATTGATTTAAAGAGCAATAAATGAGTAAAAACACAAGTAAAGTTAAATGATCATGGTTGTTTATGTCTCTTAACTCCACAAGTTGGTTGTTGTCTTTACTAAAGCTTTACAAACAATTCGTTGTTGAAGACGTTGGTGTAATTCCGGTTTCAAACCTAGCTCATGATTTCAGTAAAATATTGTAGAATGTTTGTGGATCACTACGTAAAATACAAACTCGGTAAATAGTTCGTAGATGTAAAATAAGTCGAGAATAAGATACATATGATGTGTTCTTATTATTAGTTTTTATTAAACAAAATTAAATATCCTGCAGCATTTAAATATAATGGAAAAACGAACGTTAATAAGTGGCTTTTAAATAAAATAAGCTGATAACAAAATTGAAAGGTTTGATTTTATTCAGATCATCAATTCGTATTCAAGATATCCGTAGTTACAAGAAAGAAATTAAAATGCTACCGAAAGTCTTAAGAATTTCCTAAAAGTAACCTTCAAGCTGAACTTTAAAGTTCAATCTGAGCTCTCTGCCATAAATCTTTCTGTTTCCTTTGCTCACTCATCTAACTAATGGCTGTTCGGCCCCAGTCCTTTGAAATCGTGCTTTTCCTCTGCCGTTTTTCTTTCGCTGCCATGTTGCACTGTCAACAGAGTTGGAAAAATTTTTATTTATGCACTTTGTAGCGCCAAAATTCTCCGGCGGCACCTGTCAGTCAACACTCGGGATGGCACAAACAGTTAGGGAGCCACGGGGCCACGGAAGCAAACAAAGGAGCGGAATCTGGGTGGAGGAACGCGTTCTGGATGGAGAGCGGCGGCTGACTGGCAGCCGCTGACCATAGACAGGCACTCAAAAAAATATCGGAGAGTTTGTCTAAGCAATATGATTCCAGGAGATCCAAACTCGCCACATAAACCTTCCTCTATATTAAATTGAATCCGCTTTTTTTTAGAAATGGCATTCCATAACTTTCAAGGAACTTAACTTTAATATTAGTGGCCTTTTTCTATAAATTAGAAACGGGTTCTCTTTCTTATTGAAATTATTTCTCTTATAAAATAAATAAAGGAAATTAGATAGCATACTGTAAGCTGAATAATTAAGTATAAAACATGTATAAATTCCATAAAATATGAGCAAATGAGTAAATTATTTATATTGCCAACTGGTAGCATTATGAATATTAAAAGCATTAATTAAAGCTTATTGAATTTAAGATAGGCCCGCAGTTTTAGCAACTAAAAATGTAGGAACTGAATTCAAATTTAAGACTCCCTGACTTTTCTACATTTTTCCCCGAGTGAGCAAACAAAGTGACCAAATGGGGCACTGAGGAAAGAAAGAAAAGCCGGCTTGGCTGGGAATGGAAAAATCGGGAACAGAGGGACTCGGATGGAACGGCAGACGGATGCCAGTCAAAGTCGCTGCTGACTGACACAGTTTGCCATTTTCGAGGAGGAAGCTGTTTGACCAGTAGACGAAGGTCCGGAGCTCGGGGTGCGGGTTTCGGGGGGCGAAACCGGGCAATTGGTAAGTGCTCGCTGTCTAATTGAAGTCAAGTGCGTTACTCTGAGCTACTTTTATCCAACGGATGCCCAATCAAATTCGCTTCGCACCAAAGCCAAACCAACTTTGACATTATGCAGCACAAATTGTGTGCAATTTTCAGTTGAGCAGTTGAAAGAGGAATGCCAAAAGGAGAGGAGAAATATATTTTACAGCTCGGAGCAAAAAAATAACAAAAATAAGACGACGATAAAAAAAAAACTGGCTCAATGAGAGGGCTCCAACCTCCGGCCCAAACTGTCTGCCACATTGTCTAAAGGTAACAATTTATATAATGAAACTGATTTCAAATTTGTGATGTTCAGAGAGACTCGACGAGGAACTGACTCGACTCGTTTGCGGATCCCCAATCCCAATCGCAATCGCAATCCCGGTCCAGTTCTCGTTCCTGCTCCCGACATTGGTAATTACCGGGCACTGGCCAAAACCACAGTTATAGCCACAAAAAGTATAAAAAACACACGGTAAGTAAGGATGGACGCAGAGAAAAATCCGAAATAAATAAAAGCGACATAAGTGGAAAGCTGTAATGCTGTGGTGCGGAATATAGAATGCAATAGGGGAAATGGCAAGGAACTTTTGTATTAAAAAGGTCATACAAATAATCTTTTAAAATAAAATTTTAATAGTTATTAATTTTTGCAGTTTGTATACATTTGGGATCGGAATTAGAAGTAAATTGAAATAAATATAAAGAAATTTTTAATTCAAAATCATTCTAAGATAGAAAAGAGTTAGAGGTTTAGTTTTTTATTATAAGCTACCTTCATTCTTAATATGTATTATCTTACGTTTACTTATTTTTAGATCTGTTTTAAATTCAGTTACCAAATCGCACACTCCTGAAAAAGGGTATAAAACTTCAGTCACAACAACAGTAGCGGTAAAAATACAGTAAATTGAAACAAGTTTAAGAACCGAACCGACCAGTGTCGTGGTTATTGGTCACCTGTCTGCGAAGAAGAGCTCCATCGAATGCTTTTCGATTACTCTCCCCCAAAAAATGTACCAGCAGTTGGGCAAGATGGGCTTATTGCGAGGGGAATGGGGAATGAGGAATGGGGAAGGGGAAGGAGTTGCTACATGATTTGGCAACTTTCTTGCAACGGACCTCGGCAACCGGTGGAGAGAAAAACCCGTCGCTAAATCATCTGTTTGGAGCCAACAAAACCCACCTGACTGCCTGACTTTGTGTGGGAGTCTGTGGTGCAAGATTTTGCGGTGGCTTTGAAAATAGTTTGGAATTTTTTCCCCCCGCTGTTTTGCAACACGTTGATTCCTTCTTTTTGTTTGATAAAAAGAAAGTTGACATAAATTGTTTCGTACTTTTTTTCGCCAATTTTTTCTTTGCACATTTGAGGTAGCGAAAAAAACCTAAAAAAAACATTTGCGGTTGCCTTTTTTGTTTGGTCGTGCACAGGAAGGAAATAAGCGAGCTTGAATCGAGTTTTTGGCAAGTTTGTTGTGGGATCTCTTTGGTTTTCTTTTTATTTCTTTTGGTGTTGCATTTTGAAAGTTCGTGAAACAAGTTAATCGCCTCCGTCTTTGTCTTGATTTTATGGTTAGTTCGGATGCGGTTGGTTCCTACTGACAAGGGAGTGATAAGTGGGTTGCCAGTTGATTAAGGTCTTTCGTCGGGGTTATATAACATTAGAGCTCGAATTCCAATTTCTTTCGGTTACTAAATAAGCTAATTTAAATTAGGTGTCAACCTTACATGACACAGAAACATACTTTTAAATTTTTTTCACACACGAACTACATTAGTTATTCGATTAAATTTAAATTAAATAATAGCAATTTCAAATAAATATTTTGAATGAAATAAAAGTCACCTTTTGGAAAGCCATTTGTTTTTCAGTTTAAAATACTTATACTAAAAAAAACTTAAATGATTTTAACGTTATTAAGCAATTACCAATAATAATTTTTTATAAAGACTTAAAGCTACTATTAAGCCTGAAAATAAAGTGATTAAATATATAGTGCGTGATGGCACAACCTACTCAATATTTAAATAAAGTAAATAAAGAATTTAAAATATTTTAAGGCGTGATGTTGAATATCTAGATCTGCAATGCAAAGCTCTTTCCTCACTGAAATAACTTACTATATCCCACGATCTTTTTAAAACCAATTTCCCTAATGAAGCTCAAGAGTTAATCACTGCACGTTAAAAGTCACGTTTGAGTTTTCTTATCGGCATGCCCCACGCAAGCCAATTGTTTTGAAACTGCTACTTTCCCTGTCGAGTTCCCATATTAGGCATAATAATAATAATAATAGCCTTAACGTAAGGCACTTCCCATTTCCCCCTCATTCGATTTCATTATCAAATTTGCCTGCTGTGTTTGAAAAATATGCTTTAAATGCATTTAATTAAAAACATTTATGCAAATTGCAAGCGGCGACCATTATAACAGCAACAAAAACTAAGTGCAACGTCGAACAATGAAGGCAGCAAAAGGCTCCCCGCTTTTCCCCCAGTTTTCAGCAGAGTTTCACACCATTTGCTATGCGACTGACCGCAGTTACCCCCCACCCGAGTTTTCCACCCCGCCCCGCTGGCTACTCTTTCTTGCTCATTATCATCGCTGGGGCAAATTATGGGAAACTAGCGCAACAGTGTTTTTGCCCCCAACCTTCCCCCTTTGGATAGAAAAAAAAGTCAATGCTTATGCTAATTTCTTTTGCTGCGGAACTTCCTTTGTTCCCCTTTTCCACCCCATTTCGAATGCATTTTAATTGCACTTTTTCCTGCCGCTCCGCAAGAAACTAATAACTGGCAATTTATTAAAATGTTTTGCGGTTCGCCAGCAAAGTGCCGCGTCGTTGTTGCCGCGAACACTCGTGCCTCGTACAATTTTGGACATTTGTTTGTGTTCCATAAAAAATATGGCAAGACAGGCAGGGAATGGCCAAAACAAAAAGCCAAGAAAATAAGCCAAGAAGTGAATTTTTGCTATGCGAGCCAAATGCGTTAAGCGAGGCGTGAAAATTTCTCTACCCAACTCGCTGGCGATTTATGTGAGAATTATGTTAAATTAGCCAGCGAAGCGTGCGGTGCGATGCTTCCCCTTCTCAAAGGCCTCTTCGTTTCAAGGCGCACCAACAAATCTGATAATCTCATTTGAGCCAGCAAAGAAAACCTAAGAAATTTGAAGGTAAGCAACTAAGTGGAAACAAGTTCATTTTTCTGGGAAATTATTCAAAAAGATGGGTAATTAGATGTATGACGAGACAACTATATTTTCTAATCTAATTATGATCGTCAGATTTGATTAACATAAAAAAATAGGTATTTACAATGTCATAGAATTAGAATTTCAGGAAAATTTATTTTTCTACTTGGTTAACATTTTCAAAAAATATTTAATCAGAAAAACATTATGTTTGTTTATATGTTGGCCTAGCAAAAAAAGGGCTTCGTTTTGCTTGTATATTTGAGTCAGCATTTTATTTCCAATCAAATTTATTTCAAAACAATATTTTATAATATTTAACTTTAAAATTTTGTTAAAGAGAAATATTTTTTTTGGAAGAGAGTAAGGCAATAATGGAATGCAAAGAATCGGAGGATGTAGCATGTGAAAGAGCAGAGGAAGGTGATATTAGACGTCTTTTAGATGATCTCCATTTGCAAATGCTACATTTAATAGAGGACCACGAGGTGCTTCATTTACTGGTTAACAAGCAGTCGGCTAAAGATCAACTAATCTTGGCCAGGTCAAGATTTCACCAGGAACGAAGTTCGTCAAAAGCCCAATTGCCCAGAGGAAGATCCTACAAGGCTCTTACTCGAGTTATCAAAGTATCGAATCCCTGGGGAAAAGCCATGAAGATCTTCAGACATCCTGTTGATCCGATCAATGGATATATTCGCCCACTGACGAATATATTCGGCTTTCTTGTGCCAGAAAGCTTGAGAATGGCAGATTGGGATCACAATCTCGATCTAGTTGTCGAATGTGTCAACGTACAAAGGGATCTGCAATCCACAATAACTTCCATAAAGAAGCTGCAATGGTTATTAGATGAAACTAAGTCTCTATGAAGCCAACCGGATGAGCTACAGGTAATGTATTTTAAAAATTAATAAAAATACCTGTATAACAAAAACCTCTATTTAAAGGTTATATAATTATCTAGACAAGCGAAGTTTGGATAAAAATTTGTCACTGGAATTTCTTTATTGACTTTGCTTGTAATACATTATCATTTACCTACATCCTGATTTGGTTTAACTGAGAAAAAGTATGTTATAATATAACAATCCCTCGTATGTTATTGTGAATTATAATTACAGATAATTATTATTTTTATAAAAAACATCGCTTCGTGTTTGATCGAAATCAAATGAAATATACAAGCTTTGCGCACCTACGCGCGGTGTTTGCTCATATCTGACATTTAATCCATGTAAATTAGCTAAGCAGTTGCATTTTCATGAATATTACTACACAACTCTTTCCGATGGCGCGTTTTTAATTAAGATAAATTGCCCTGTTCCCTGAACTCCGCACACACAATTCCCCCCGCGAAGTCCCCCGAAGAGTCTTTCTCGATAACCCTTGCAATGCCTGGCATCAATTATAGTCTAGTTAAAAATAAAATCAAATGCCAGAGGAGCTAGCATTGACAACATTGTCGATTCGGTGGCTAGTCTGCCTCTTCTGCCTCTTTTGCCCCTTCTGCCGCCCTCTTCTGGGTGCCCCGCCCCCTTTTTTGCGAAGTCGTGGCGGCGGCAATTATGCGGCATTTTCTTTGGCCCCTAGCCACAAACGAGTTTCTTTCCGCCGAGATATCTTTGTTTCGCTGTATTTCTGCGACATGCAGCGGCAACTACAACAAAATACCAGAAATAACTTGAAAATCCATTAAACAACTGTCGGCCGGCCACAAGTCGGCCTGCCTTTTGCCTTGCCATGGCCAAAAGGGATAAAGATAAAAGTTTTGTCAACTCCTCGCCAACCGAGAACTGAAAACTGCGAACTGAGCACCGAGAACCGCCAACCGAAGGGCGTTTTTGTGGGGCCTTGACAAGTGATAACAATGTGTCAGTTGATGTCGCCGGAAAACGTCCTTGGCTGCGATTTTCGCTCGGCAAAACTTCAACTCTGACTTCCACGTTTTATTGATTTCTGCAAAAACACACACACACACTCGCCAAGCGAAAAGTGAAAGGCCGCGGATAGGGTTTCCATAACCTGTTCCCACAAAATATTTGTACAATTCGTATTTCTCTTGCATTAAGAAAGTAAAACCAGATGTCGATTGAGGGAGTTGCGTGGGTCACGCGCGGTCCAGTTGCCCAGAAAATAAATAAATAAACCCAACTCCACGTTTGAGCAAAGAGAACTGGATTTTTATACAATCGTGGGCTGCTGTGGAAAAATCGAAGTAAGTCTATTCGCATTCCAAAAATTATTTTTAAACTATAGATAAAAAAGGTAACACTTTAATCAAAAAAAGAGAAGTTCTATTTATAGGGTTTTATTTTTAAAATATAAACAAGCAATAAAACCACATTTATTTTTGGAATTTATTGGCAAATAAATTAAGAGCTTCAAAGTTTTAAAACTAATTTGCACAGTAGCAAGAGTCTCTTGTGTTGACTGCAATCCACTCCAAGTACCTCGAAACTCGAGTGTAAACTCCAGGAGCATCTGGCTTGGCACATCCGTAGCCAAAGGACACGACTCCAGCCAGCCGGAAAATGCGATCCTTGACAATCAAGGGACCTCCGCTGTCACCCTATAAATGTTGGGCCAAAAGGATAAATGTTTGATTCCAACTTGTATCAATTCGTTTGGGAAACACACCTGACAGGCATCGCGACCTCCGGTCTGGACGTAACCCGCGCACATCATGGTGTCCACGATCATGGACCTGTAGGAGGTGGCCCGGCACTGGGCGTTGGTGATGATGGGCACCACGACCTCCTGCAGGACGCTCGAGGTGGAGCCGCCCTCCTGGCTGAGGCCCCAGCCCGCCACGATGGCCTTCTGGAAGTCGAAGTTCTGCAGCCAGTTGCTGGGCAGGCAGGCGGGTCGCATGGTGTCCACCAAGGGGATGGGCTGGTCCAGCCGCAGGAGGGCTATATCATGGACCAGGCTTACGGGGTCATAGCCCACGTGGGCATGGGCGAAGGCCACCGACCGGGTGACCCCCAGGTGGGTGGAGCTCCTGTCCAGCTGCAGCAGCCGCACGGACACGCCCCGCATGTCCATGCCGTGGACACAGTGGGCGGCGGTCAGGACGTAGCGATCGTTGATCAAAGTCCCGCCGCAGAAGAGGAAGGTGCCGCGGATGATCTGGGCTATCCACGGATATTTATTCGTCCGCACTTGGGTGCCGCCCACAATGCGATTCACATTCGGAACGCCGCAGGCTGCAAAAGGATTGAAATTCGATGGGATCTGGTGGTCTGATAATCTGGGGGGTCTTCGGTGGAAAACTGTCTCAGCCAGGGAATGGAAACGCGACTACATTAACTCGCTACGTGTGATAGAAACTATTATTGTTTTACAAAAATCATAATTTAAGCAACATTTTAAATTGCAAATATTTATACTCATTAAAAGAGTTATTAAATAAAGAATATATTTATTGTAGGTATATCCACCATTTCACTAATTTTGATTTCGTTAATTCAGTTCATATTCACAAAATATTGAATTGTATAATTTTATAAAACGATTTACCATTTTCTTTACTTAGTTGTGGTTTCAACATAACTTATTTAAAATGTTTTGCCCTATTATTCAGTGTGAATGTTTCTAATTTTAGCCATGTCATACTATTATGATTTTTATGTATTCAATAATGAATTTTCTTCACAACCGTATCAAAAGCGTTTTATTGATTTGTTCACTTTGACTAAAGAAATGAAGTCGTTGAGCAAGCTCACAGCACGTTTCACAAACACGTTTGAAGGTAATGCGTTTCCCGATAGACGTGCAATAACCGATTCAAATTTCCAATTATTAGCCGGAGATTAGCCGGGATCGTTTCACTCCCTGGCTGGATATGGTTTTTCCACCGCAATTCAGGAAAACTCACTGCAGCTGGCACAGCGATTAACGCGAAACGCCTTGGCACCACCGCCATCCAAGGAGGCAATTGGGGAGGAGGACGATAAGGAGGAGGATGAGGAGGTGGAGGTTGGATCCGAGGGAGTTTCACTGGCCACGCCCAGAACATTCGATAAGATTTGCTGCTTATGGCCCTCAATCAGATCGTCAATGAAGTCCGATTGCACTCCGGGCGGTGGGCCGGAATTGGAAGTCGTAGTCTCTGTCGTATTGCCATTGATTGGCAGAGGTGGCAATCGCGCTGGCTTCGGATAGAAATAACCGCGGGAAGGTGGCTTATAATTATAGATAGCCCCACTCCGATCGCAGATCGAAACGAGAGCGAGAAGCAGAAGAATAGCCGGCGGATTGAGTTTCATGTTCCCGGCGAACCGAACCAATCGCTTAGCAAACGCAAACTGACGGGTTGCCCTTGCCATTTAACGGTTCTTATAGGCCAACCAACCAGTGTATCCAAGAGATCCATCTTAATATTTAAATACCCATATATATGCGCGAAACATTAACAGCTTAATGAGGCACTTAATCCGTCCATCAAATTATTTTATCAGCCAAATTTCTTTGCATATTCCCAGTTCTCAATCGAAAGCCCTTTATCATCACTTGACCCAGTTTCAAAAAAACAAAACGAACTGAACCCATTTGTCAATAAATCTGGCAAAATATAATTTTTGCATTTTACCATCGCAGAACTTTGATGTCTGCAAAGTGATTTCGTCTTTATCAAAATTTTATGTTAATGGTCGGATCCGCTTTCTTTTCTCCCGAAATAGAAAAAAAAGTCCCACTTCGCTTGGTTATAAATCTAATAGAACGCTCAAATTTCTGGATTGATATCGCGTATGAGATTTATAACTCGTGTTCTGCTCCACGTTTGAGTCCATAAATTTATTTTATGGCCCAGTGAAATTGCCAATTCTTTTCTTCATTGATGCGACCCAAAAAAAGAACGAAATTAAACTGAAGTCCAGCAAAAGGTTGATGAGAATATTAAAGGTTAAACCGCACGTGTGGTAAAAAGTCTTTTTCTGATCACTTCGTAATTACAAGTCATCAAATACTGCTGACCACATTTGGCTTTTGGGTTAATAAAGGTTAATTCTGTTTGGTGAGTACCCACAAATGATTTAAAAATAATTGAAAAAGTTGTTTTAAGCAATACATCGCCTTAAGTAACTAACTTTCTTCCCTTAACTAATAATTAAAAGGAATACCCATATCTATATAATTATCTTTGAAATTTCTTCTTTTTATCTGATATCATCAACGGAAGTGGTCACGGAAAACGCCCAATAGCTATAATAACAATCAAAAAACCCGAAAAAGATTTCCTCAAACGAAAGTAAATTGACTTCCCCAAATCAAAAGCTTAACAAGAGATCCATAAAAACGTTCAACCCACAACACAAAATATTCTTAAGCCGTTCGACGATCGTTCGAAAATAGAAAGTAAAAAGAACTCTCAAATAAATTGGGTCAAACTAATGAAGATGCCGATAAAGATGCGTATAATCGAAAAGCCGGAGGACTGGAAATACTTGTAAATGGGTTGATGTTTATAATCTGTCCGCTTGTTGGGCCAACAACAAACCCAAAAGAGCCGATCCCAAACAACAACAACAGCCGTAATGGCACAAGGTGCACGAAAACCAGGCCCAGACTTTAACTTCCACTTCGGTTTCGACTTGGGATCTGACCCCAGTGAAAGAGCGTCCAAGTATTTGGGTCAGCCGAAGAAGTGAGGCGTTAGCTTAGGAGAATTGAATAGATGATGACACCAAAGCCGCAGCCACAGACTCACGCACACCGCGCCAGAAAGAAAGTCTCTTTAATTTATTTATTTATATGCAGGCCGCTAGAATCAATGAGAAGAAAGTTCTGCCATGCCAATCCAGCATCCCGAATGAAACGAGTTTCTCTCTTCTTTTGGAACTGTGCAACTCTCTTCCACTCAGAACCAAACTTGACTTGACTTTGAGTCGCTTTTCCACGCAGATCCATTGAGAAAGGCTTTAAGAAGGTGCTTCATTGAGTGAAGAGTGTTTGGATAAGGTAACAGAAGAATAAATTTAAGAAAAAACATGAAAAACACATTAATAACCCAATTTAGTAATACAAATAATTACGTTAACTAATTTCGCATTTGATAGACAAGGTTTGCCAATAATAACAAAGCAATTTATAAAAAAAATGTAGGTCAAGGTAGCATATTTAAAATAAATCAGCGTT